GGAGATTACACTGCTAGCTCCAAAATAGTTTAAAAACAGCAAGTTGCAGAGCTTCATGCAGGTTATTCTAATATTAGCATTTAAAAGCATTTAAAAATTATGAGTATTATATCAGTTTGCTAGTGCTGACATAACAAAATACCACAAACTAGATAGCTTGAACAACAAAATTTATTTTATTTCTTTGCAGTTCTGCAGGCTGAAGTCTGAAACCATGTTGTAGGAGGATTGGTTACTTTTAAGGCCTCTCTCTTCTTGGTGTGTAGATGGTTATTTTCTGCCTTTGTCTTCACGTAGTCTTTCCTCTGTGTCTATCTGTGTCCTAATCTCATCTTCTTATAACGTGACTGTATTGGATTAGATCTACCCTGAGAGCCTCATTTTAATCTAATCCAATCACTAAAGGCTCCATCTCTAAATAGTCACATTCTGACACACTAGGGGTTATGATTTTAACTTATGATTTGGGGAGGAACATAATTCAGCCCATAACAGGTATATACATATACCAAAACTCATCATATTGTATGCTTTAGATATGTTCAATTTATTGTATGTTGATTATGTATTAACAAATGTATAAAAACATGGAGGAAAAGAATTTAGTCATATTTATATTTGCTTTTATATGCATAAAAGAGCGATTGCCTTTTGCAGAAGAGGTGAGTGCATAGCAAATGGAGTTCAAAAATGAGACTTAAAAACATGTAAATATATTACTGATTCAGAAAAAATCTCAGATACATATTTTTAAACGTTAATAAAATATGACACCAAGTGTTCGTTTGGGGAGTTTGGGGGAGGCAGCTGTGAGCTGAGATTAGTAGTTCTGGCATACAAAACTTCCCACAGGTTCTGCTGTCTGTCATAAGTTTCACTTAGCTTTATTCAAGGCTGTCAGCCTAGCCTTGACTGTGTCATTGTCCCATATCTATTTTGTAACTTTTATACTGACAAAAAGTTTACTGTTTTTTAAACTCTTCCTGTCCATATTGTCCATATGCTTTTACAATAAGAAAATAAAAAGAGTTACTTCATTGTAGTAAGACATAGCTATATCTGTGAACAAATTACCATTTCCAAGACAGCTTTTGCCTAAATTGATTGCTTCTCCATGTCTTTATTCAATTTTCATTTGTTTCTTAACTTTATTAGGTCAGTTTTTTGGTACTTTGTAGGCTAAAAGAACAAATTTGAGCTTTGTTCTCCTATGAGTTTTTCTCCTTTATAGTTATTTTATAACCCAAACATTTATTAGCGATTAGGTTAAAGGGTTTGAGGAATAATTTTTAAATCTTGTAGAACTTTGGTCCTAACAATATATTTTTAATTTTTTTTGTTTTGTTTTTATTTTTTTTAAAGACGGGGTTTCGGCGTGTTGGTCAGGCCGGTCTTGAATTCACGACCTCGGGTGATCCGCCCACCTTGGTCTCCAAAGTGCTTGGGTTATAGGCGTGAGCCACCAGGCCCAGCCACAATATGTTTTTATAGAAAATATCTTCAATTAATACATTTTACCTAACTGTTAGGACTGCTTTAAATTAAAGCAAAGACAGTTGAATTTTAGGAAAATAATACAGGTTTGCTTTTTTATGAAATAAAGCTTTTTATCAGTGAATTTGAGAGAAATTGTGAAAATAATAAACTCTATAAAATTCAGTTCAAAGGGCATTCTAAAGCCCTCCTTCTTTCCTTTATTCATTGCTGACCTGTTTTCAATATAAATGGGAGATTGTAGCAGCACTAAATTTGGGCCTTATATAAAGATCTCATAGGAGGTTGGCTGAGGCTCCATCCTAAGTGGGAATTGTTGGTATGGGTGTCCTAAGGGATGCCAGATAGGTTTATTCTGTACTAGAGTTGTTTCCTGTTTGTGGCAATACCATGGGACACATTCAGGTCCAGGAATCCAAATTCGGAAATGCTCTCTGGGACTATCATCTTACTCTCTCTTCTAGCCCCAATTTGAAATCCTTTGGAATAAGGAGGCAAAGTGAATTCTTGTCCTGGCTCTTATTATAACATTTCAGTGACTTTGGCCAGATTCCTTAACTTTTCCAGATATCCATTTATTTACCTGTAAAATAAAGGGATAATAACTAAGACTTCTTAAACACTTACTTTGTGGCAGACACTTTTCTATGTGCTTTATTTTTATCTTTATTAATTTATTTACACCACCACTCAGTGAGGTAAGCATTGTTATTATGCTCATTTTAAAACTGTGGAAACAAATTATCATCACCACCTATCCCCTTTGTCTTCTTTATTTTTTTATGTCTTCTAACATTTTTTATCTTTATCTTTCTGTATTTTCTAACGTATTTTTAAATAAACTTTGTAAAATCAGTATACTCACTATACTCTTTTCAGGACACTTTTTTGGATTTTGGGGGGGTTTGTTTGTTTGTTTTTAGACAGGGTCTACCTCTGTCACCCAGGCTGGAGTGCAGTGATATGATCTCGGCTCACTGAAACCTCTTTCTCCAGACTCAAGCAATTTTTCTACCTCAGCCTCCCAAGTAGCTGAGACTACAGGCGTGCAACCCCATACCCAGTTAATTTTTGTATTTTTTTAAGAGATGGTGGTTTTATCATGTTGACCAGGCTGGTCTTGAACTCCTGGACTCAAGCAATCTGCCTGCCTCAGCCTCCCAAAGTGCTGGGATTGCAGGTGTAAGCCACAGTGCCAACCTACATTTCTAAATATTATGTAAAAAATAGAGGTTTATATAACTATTTTCTATTGACCTTGAAAAGAAGTACAGCGCCTGATCTAAATAATGTTAAAAAGTGTTTATTTGGGTTTGTAAACACTGTGCTTAAAACTTCCATTGATTTGTTCCTCTGTACTCTACAGCTTCCACCTCAGTTCTGTGGCTTTCACATTCCCAACAGGTGCTTCACTGCAGGAATTAATAATATTCTGAGTCTTGCAGTTTCCTAGCTAGCAGGCTCTGCCAGAACCTGCAGCCTCAGCTGCCCTCATAGATTAATTATTCATTAAGGCAGTTTCCAGTGTAGGGGCCAGAAACCGGAAAGGGAGATGTTTGTATGAAGTGAATTTGTTGTTTTTACTTGATTTGGGTTTTTTGCTTCTTATTAGATTACTGAGTCTCAACATTTGAGAAATTATAATGCTATAGATTTTTTTGATTTTTCTAAAGTATTAGAAAGATTTTCTTCCCACTATCCTTGCAAAGTGGGCATCTACATATCAATCATAAGTCTTTTCAGAAATATTTCTGTAAATTATTCATTTTCCAGTTGCCTTCAAATCCACATTATATTCATATTAAGACATTTCAGTAAATAAACAGACATGAGAAGTGATCACTTTTTTCTGGGTTTCTCCAGGAATGTGCTGAATATTCTTAGACCCTTTTAATGTTAGGCAAATACATGATTTTGACTTCCTATTGCTTCTTTCTTTAAAGAATAGTGGGATTTTCATTTATTTTTGCAGAATAATTTAAAATTGGCTGCTGAAATGTCAGCAAGATAGGCATAAATATTTCTTGAACATAAGCTGCTAGGTGCTATAATTTGGCTTTAATTATCTATAAATGTGTTTTTAGAATTTTGTTCAAAATATTTGAGATTATGCAGAAATACACCTTATTATTGTGATATATTTGACTCATTTTTGTTGTAGGATTAATAAATTGTATTTCATTTCAGTTACAGTGACCATTTACAGTACCATTTACAAATCTTTAATTTGTAAATGTTAAATTCTCTAATACCATATTCAAGATGTTTTATGTTATAAATGAAGCAGAGATTTAGTGTGGTTGTCTGTGACTTTTACATCTAGTTTCTTTAGGGAAAATTAGATTTTGGTTAAAGGTACTAATGTTGCCAGAGATGTATTTTGAATGACTGACTTATCCATCTTTGCCTCCTTTCTAAACCCTTTGTTTTCTCCCTGTCCTACTCCAGGATTGATTTACAACAAAGCCAGTGAAACTTAAGCTTTAAGACCCCCTCATTTATCTCCTCCAAATCCTGTCAGGGACCATGGTAATTTTGTATTGTTAATTCTGTATTTGTTCTCTTAAAGAGGACCCTTCTAATTATAGAAACTTCTTTATACACAATCTATGTATCCAACATAGGATTGTATATCATAAGATTCTTAGTGGCACAGCAGAAAGGACCAAAAAGTGGTGGGAATAAAACCTTTTTAAAATCAGAAATCATATAATTGATGTGAGAAAAAGGAGGTTATTTTTCTCCATACGGTTTGCAAAGCTGTATCAACAACTAACGAAGTCTCTGCTGATATATCATGTATTTCATAAAATCTTACTTTATCTTCCTTTATCATTGTGCTGGTAGGCAGATTCTCTTCAGCTTTTCAGCTCGTGTACAAGGAATAGAATCATGGGCAAATTTCAGAGAGGCAAAGACATTTACCACTTTCACCAGCCCTGCTTTAACAGTAGTGGGCAAGTCAAGTGCTGGGAGAGAACAACTTGGAATGGTCCACACACTTGTGCTTTGGCAGCAAATAGTCGTTTTATTCCTCACCCACCCCAACCTGGTACTAGGGTAAAGCATTTGAGGCACCAAGGAAACAAAATTTACATCTGAATCTGATAGACTACTAATTAAAAACTTATCTCCCTCACCCCCAATTCTAAAAAAAGAACACCTAATGACTTTGTGTTGTTTATTTAATAAACCATTTTGTAGCAGTAGAGGCATGATGTCAAGCAGATGTCTATCTAATCACTGAATAAATCACTTACCAGCTTTGAGATCCTGGGCAAAATAACTTCACTGAACCTTATTTTCCCCAATTAATAAGGCCATAGGATTTAAAAGTATATACCTATAAGGGCCTTATAATATGGTAGGTGCCACTGAATGCCAGCTCCCTCCCCCAACAAGGTTCTTGTTTGTACATGTCCTGCAGCCATGCCCTATGTGTGAAATGCCCAGCTGGCTACTCTCACTTGATTAAAAAGTATATGATTGTTAAACTGTATTTTCAGAGAACGATGAGGAACAGGAGGCACTGCCATCTCTGGATAAACCTGGCTGGTACTCCCAAGGAAACGCTGTCCACCTCTATGAACTCCTGAAGAAAATGACTGGCAAACCTGAACCCAAGGTATTTTCCAGTTGCAGAGGAATCCTCAGCACCCACTTGCAGACATAAGCAGTTGTGAACTAAAACCATTCTCAGTGCATTCAGTTTAATCATTTGTGGCAGATAGGCAGATGATTATCTGCCTCTGCCTATCTGCCAAATCTCTCCTCTTAAATCTTCTGTTTAAATAAGGCTTTCCTTGATCAATGTCAAAGCTGTCTATCTGTGATAGAGAAGAGCAAGGATTCCAAGCAGGGCACCACAGATTTAGGGGGTGTATGGGTGTGTAGGATGCCTTTGGAATGTTATCCTGATAACGATCCATCCAAAAAGTTTTTATATGTAAAACAAACAACTGAAATTATGCCGCAGACTAGCCTAAAGATATGCTTGTTTTTGACAACATAATCACGTTGTTGATCATGTTGAATTGGTGCATTTCTAACAGCAGAGCCCTTCTAAAAAAATATTTACCAGAATTTTCCATGAGCTAAGAGATCATGGGGTAACAGAGCCCTGCTTCATTGGCTGTCACCATGTCACAGTCCCCTGGAGACTCCTGAGGGTTAATGGATAGAGCAATCTGACTTGCACATGCTGATTCTTACATCCCTTAACTCTGTTTTCACATCTGAAAATTGAGGGGTATGGACTTAGTCAATGGACTTTTGCCTCAGATTACCTAGGGAACTTTCCAGATTCTACATACCCAATTCCACTCTCACAGATTCTGTTTCAGCAGATTTGGGGTTGAGCCTAGATACTCTCTTGAAAAGTGGTTGTGATTTGCACTTTTAATAATCTCTAACCTACTATAACAAGTTGTCTAATACCTCACCAGCTCTTCAACTGCAGGGGCCGTTTTATTAATAATTGTAAACATATATGTAAACATATAGGTTCACTTCTTTAGGAAAATTGAATAAAATAATTTATTTCACCTTATGCTCTCTTCCACCTATGAATGTGTTGTATAACTTTTTAAGACAAATCTGGCACCCAGTGAATCAAATGAAACAAGTTGATGGTCACCTGTGAGGTTATTCAAACAAGTTTAAGATGTTTATGCAATTTTTGGTTGTCATACTCTGATGGCTGTTGAGAAATTTTCTTCTTTCTTATATGAAATAAATGCCACTCCCTTTCACAATTCTATGCCTCAAACAGCATCTGCTGTCTGTCTTACAGGTTGTTTATTTTGGTGACAGCATGCATTCAGATATTTTCCCAGCTCGTCACTATAGTAATTGGGAGACAGTTCTCATCCTGGAAGAACTCAGAGGGGATGAAGGCACAAGGAGGCAGAGGCCTGAGGAGTCAGAGCCTCTAGAGAAGAAAGGAAAATATGAGGTAAGTGTTCCCTGTAGTTCTTTCCTTGAAAGAAAAATGTTTATGTCTGAAAGATAAAGTATTTTTATACTATATGACTCCAAAATTATCCTGGTCAGACTGAATACCATCATATTTTTAAAAAATGACTAATAATTTGAAACTTTGTATTAATTTTATTGACTTCATATTCCATTTATATTGAAAGCAATAAATAATAATGCCATCTTCATTCCTTTCTAAAAAGTAAATACTAAATAAGAAAATTATGACAAGTTGTGTTTTAACTATCCTATAGACATCATAATAATAGAATTAGAGAATTATTTTCATTGTAAGGAAAGAATTATTTTTCAGGGATGTTCTGTTTGGGCTAGTTTTCAGATAATAACCAACTGACCATATAAAAATCTAGTTTCTGTTTAAAATAAAGGATAATAATAAGGAGGGACTATTTTTCCTGTTCCAAAAATGTAATGTGTGCCCAAAGCCTATTTGTAGATTCCTACAGGGTATCAAAGTTTTTATTTACTTAATTGACAAAAAAATTATGAGATTGAACATTAATCATCATTTTAATTATTCTGTTCTCTTGCTTCAGGGACCAAAGGCAAAGCCTCTAAATACTTCATCTAAAAAATGGGGCTCTTTTTTTATTGATTCAATTTTGGGACTGGAAAATACAGAAGACTCCTTGGTTTATACATGGTGTTGTAAGAGAATCAGTACTTACAGCACTATCGCAATTCCAAGTATTGAAGCAATCGCAGGTAAGGGGGAAAATACCTGTAAAGCTTCACCTGTTACTGGCCAATAGTGATCAGTACTAGAATTCTTATATTTAAGAAAGAAAGATTTATTTCCCACAACATTGATTTATCTTTGGGGAAAACATCTTCTAGATATGGCAACCTAGGTAATTAGGACCAGCACTTCTGTGGGAGGCAACTACAAAAGTTCGACATTTTTTAAGTCAGCTTGGAGGCATATTATAAAATTAGGGAAGAGTTATACCAGGATAAGCTGCTAAGAAGGCCCAGTAAGGTGAACGTGGCATTTGAGGCTGCTTTTCCCCATGGGTATTTGCTGATTCCAAAGAGGGCACCAAAGAGGGTGAGTGGGCCTTTCAGTAACTTCATAATCTACAGGAATAGGAACTGGAGGAGAAGGCCTGCCCGAGGAGAGGTGGGTCTGGTGAACTCTCTCTATATTGAGACCTTGAGGGCCTTACTTTAAAATAAGAATAAATTGAGAGGAAATCTCCATTTTCACAGGAACTAAAACTCTGCTTGAAATCAGCTGAATACCTAAAATTGAATTGAGGAGATTCCAGATTATTAGTGCCCCTGCACACCTGGTAGAAACAATTAGATTCTCTTTTGAGTAAGGTAACATCATTCTAGGACTCAAATTATTTCTAAAAACAACTCATATAGAATTTAGCACATAATGGAAAATAGCTGGGCACATAAAGATATAAGACCACACTAACAAAAATAACCATGTTTATTATAGTCAAATACAGAAAAGGAAGGAATGAGAAATTTGGCAGATTAAAAACTATAAAAAGAATGGAGAGTCTAGAATTGAAACATTTAAAAAATGAAATTAAGAACTTAACAGATGGGTTTAACAGCGAATTAGACACAAATGAAAAGTGACTTAGTGCACTGAAAATTAGGTCAAAAGAAAATATTTGGAATGAAGCAATAAGAGAAAAATCATAAAAGATACAGAAGAAAGGCCAAGACATAAAAGATATACTGAGAAGAAGTAAGATTTCTATACAGCCAGCCTTCTGTATTCTTGGGTTTCACATCCTCACATTCAACCAATTGTGGGTAAAAATTATTCAGAGGAAAAAAACAGTAAAACACAGTACAACAATTTAAAATGTTACAAATTTTTTAAAATATAATTATTTACATAGCATTTACATTGTATTCAATATTATAAGTAATCTAGTGATGATTTAAAGTGTACTGGAAGATGTATGTAAGCTATATGCAAATATTATGCCATATTTTGACTTGAACATGCATAGGTTTTGGTATCCACAGGGGTCCTTTTGCAGATACTGAGGGGCATCTGTGATTGGAGTCCCAGGGGATGAAAGAATAAGCCAAAATCAATAGCTCAAACTTTTCAAAGTGGGGGAAAAAAATAAGCCAAAGGTTTAAGAAGCCCAAATAAATTAAACAAAATGAATAAAAAAGAAATTCAGAGTTAACTGATAATGCCAAAGATAATTAAGAAATATTAAAAGCAATCTAGAGCACAAATATAGATTGATTGAATAACAGATTGACATCTGACTTCTCAGAAACAGAGAAGGGTCAAAGATACTAGCTTTAAATTGCTGAAAGAAAATGATGTGAATCTTGATGGAATTCTTTTTTTTTTTAGACACAGTCTTGCTCTGTCACCAGGCTTAGTAAAATGCATTTAACCATGCCCAGCCATCTTGATGGAATTCTATACCCAGTAAACATTTTAAATAATAAAAGTAAAATATTGGCCAGGTGCAGTGGCTCATGCCTGCAATCCGAGCACTTTAGGAGGCCGAGGCAGGCAGATCGCGAGGTCAAGAGATCAAGACCAGCCTGGCCAACAGGGTGAAATCCCATCTCTACTAAAAATACAAAAATTAGCCAGATGTGGTGGCGGGTGCCTGTAATCCCAGGTACTCAGAAGGCTGAGGCAAGAGAATAGCTTGAACACAGGAGGCAGAGGTTACAGTTAGCCAAGATCACGCCACTGCACTCCAGCCTGGGTGACAGAGTAAGACTCCATCTTGAACCACAACAAAAAAAATTATTTTTAGATAGAATAATGGAGAAACTGTGTGTCCAGAAACCTGCACTAAAGGAAATAAAGATTGTTGTTCTCCAGATAAAATTAAAAATAATTGATATTGGAAGACTGGAGATGCAAGAAAGATCTATATGATACAAGTATATGGTATAAGTATTCAAATAAAAAATGAATACTTACTGTTTGAAACAATAAAAATTAAAGTCCCATGGGATTTACATAAATAGAGAATTAAAATGCCTGACAAAAACGGTATATATATATATGCCAGAGTATGGCAGCTAGAATTAACATGTTCTAACATACTAGAATTAAACAATTAAGGATAAGAGTATGTTCAGTATTGATGTCAGAAATGTATGTTGTGATCTCTAAAATAACTGTCAAAAGAATTGTGATGATATACATACCAACCTAATATGTAAAATAATTTAAGAATCTAAAAGAAAACAAAGGAGATGAGAGAATATTAAGAATCAGCAAGACAGATTGATTTAGTAAAATGTTTAATTTAAACCTGAAGTAATTACATTAAATATATGTGACCAAATACTCAAGTAATAGCCAATTTTAGAAAATAATACCCAATTATAGGTGGTTTATAAGAGATATATCTGAGACATAAGGATTCAGAAAGTCTAAATAATCAAAAGATGGATGAGGTAATACCATGCTAACAGTAACCCAAAAAAAAGAAGAGTGGCTACATTAACATGAAACAAAGTAGATATTAAGGGGAAAAATGATTCTCATGAGAGAGATCACTTCATAATTAATAAACTCTAAGTTTTCAGAAATACATAATCGCCAGTCTAAGATACTCAACAAAGTCCCCTCTCCTCTCTCAGGTCGGAACTTAATCTCCCATTTTCACAATACCAAGAAACTGCCTAAAAAAGAAAACATCCACTCTGCTTTATATAGGCATATGCTTTCCACTTGGATTCTTAGTTTCCAAGTTTCCTTCAGCATTTGGCAAAGGGTTTGAGGAAAAACACAGCAGAGTCCGGTTCTCTGACCCTTCCTTTACAGTGGATTCCTAGGCCCTCAATTTTTGTCTTTGGCAAGACTGCCAAAATCTCTACTGGTTTTTCTGCTGCTTGTAGTGACCCCTACCCCCAGCCAGAATTCCAGCACCAGAGGAAAAAAGCTGAGGCAGAGTGTTAGCTCCTGTCTCCCCTGGTTCCTCCTTCCCAGAAATTGTGTCTCCTCAAGTCTTGCTTGCCTTTTTAGCTCTCCAGTGACTTCAGTCTCATGTTTATATTTTATCCAGATTTTCTAGTTGAAGTTAGAATTGGAAGTCTAGTTAATTTTTTTGAACTTCAGATTCTTCTTCCTTAAATTGAAAGTTGACATGTTGTATTAAAATTATTATTTCACTAAGCTTTTGAAGATTATTCTTAGTAACCCTGTTCCTGAGACTATGAAGAAGATTATTAGGTCTCATTCACCAGTGACTTGATACTCTTAAGTAGGGCCTGGGAGATTTCTTTTTAATTTTTATTCAGATAAGCCTTCATATTTTTGAATAAACTTCTGAGCAGAGAGTGTTAAAATTAAACTCACTAGTTAGAGCTCTGGGGATGATCTGAGATATCTCTAAATGTGATTTGACTTAAACATTATTATAATAGGGAAAGATATCTAACTCTTCATCCTAAGTCACCTTTGATAGACCTTCTCTGTGATATGGGAGAAAGAATAAAATTAAATTGTTTTAAATGAGATAGGAAGTGAAAAATAACCTGGTACTTCCCCTTTGCCTCTTAAAACCTTTTTATATTCATGTAATGTTTCTCTATTTATGGATATTCTGTTAGACATGGTTATCTCATTCACATTTAAATGCCTAGAAGCCATTTTTATAGCCGTTGTAAAAGTTTGTATTTATTAGCCATATACATTACAATCATGGTTGGTTTATACACATTTTTAACCTTATATATAATAATAGCTACACAGAGACCTACTGAAGGGGGTAAAAGTAATATTAAAATTGGCCGGGTGCGGTGGCTCAAGTCTGTAATCCCAGCACTTTGGGAGGCCAAGGTGGGCGGATCACATGGTCAAGAGATGGAAACCATCCTGGCCAACATGGTGAAACCCCATCTCTACTAAAAATATAAAAAAAATTAGCTGGGCATGGTGATGTGCGCCTGTAGTCCCAGTTACCCGGGAGGCTGAGACAGGAGAATTGCTTGAACCTGGGAGGCGGAGGTTGCAGTGAGCCGAGATGCACTCCAGCCTGGTACCTGGTGACAAAGTGAGACTCTGTCTCAAAAAAAAAGGGAAATATTAAAATTTTACAACTCTGAAAAATAGCTTTCATTACCAGTGAATATCAAGTTTTGATTTGTTTATGAAAGGCATTCAGAGACCCGTGCAATAATCAAAATTGTTTTTTTTTTTTCCTCTCTACAGAATTACCTCTGGACTACAAATTTACAAGATTCTCTTCAAGCAATTCCAAAACAGCTGGCTACTATCCAAACCCTCCATTGGCCTTATCAAGTGACGACATACTAATAACCAAATAAGTTGTCTTTACTGAAAAATGAAGTGAAGACCCATATATGCAGATTAAAAAAAGTTAATTTTCAAAAATTTCTGTAAAAGGCTTTAAGGAACGAGTTTTTAATGAAAATTGACCAAGAAGTTGATATTTGTCCATAGATCTCCTTTCTATAAATTGTCTTGATGTCTAGCAACACTTATTATATTAAAATCTCAGTATCCTAAAACTTAGAACCTTATTGATGTTTTCTATATGATAGTTTTGAGATTAGAATTCACCTGGGGATGGACACACACACACACACTCAGTCTTACATATATGCCTAGTCCAGTGGTTCTCAGAGTGTGGTCCATAAACTAATAGCATAGCATTACCTGAGAACTTGATAATGCACATTTGCAGGCCCCACCCAAAACCTGCTGAATCGCAAACTCTGAGAGTGGGGCCTACCAATATGTGGTTTAACAAGCTCATCAGGTGATTCTGATTTACCTTATAGTTTGAGAACCCACTGGCTAGACCATATCCTCCAAATACTGGCTTAATTGGTCTGGGTAAATACAGCTGAGCATTGTTATCTTTTGTATGCCATAGGAAAGTGCAGCCAGAATTGAAAACCGACTGATCTATACCAGTTCTTTCAATTAATAGTCAAGAACATTGAGTCCAGTGAGATTAAGTGATTTTTCCAGGCTATGAGTTTTTATGCTATTCCTGTGTTTTCCAAAACAAGAAAATATAAAGACACGATTTCTTCTCTGTTTATACAGCAAGTATGGAACAGAGATGGTCTAGAAGTCAACTATCTCAACCTCCATTGTTACCCAGTAGGTTTTTTTCTAATAATGTTAAAGGCTGTTTAATTTACTTAATCAATTTTAAGCCTTACATTCTCAACTGAGGACAAAAATTGGTTCTTGGGGTGAAAAAAAATCTTAGATATGGATTGTAGACTTCCAAAATCATCCTATTCAACAAAACGTTATTCCTTGGTGTTAATTTATCTCATTAGGAAGAAATCTGTAGTTAAAACTATTTAATTTAATTTGAATTTGATTTCTGTAGTTGGAAAGGGTGGTAATAATGAACAAAAAGTTTGAGAAAAAAATGCTTTAAGGGGTTTTACAGGTATACTACAATCCAGGCCTGTTTTGTTCTATGTGCTAGGTATAGTCATATTAGTAGCTATTTGTTGCAAGATATTTTGAGCCAAATAATGTTTGTAGTATAGGTTCCTGGCTACTGTTTATGCTGTAATTTTATTCTGTCTGTCTGTCCTGGGCGGTATTCGAAAACACACTGATTTTCACTATCTGGTTTTCAAACACTGTCATTATTTTACCTGGATTATAGTGGAGGATGTAGCATATCGATGCATGCAATGGAAAGAAAAGAATTTTGTTAAAATTTGTAAATGTTCAGATAAATCCCAGATATACTGTTGGATGAGTATCTCAGGGTAGGTTAAAAAAAAATTACTGAAATTTTTCCCTAACAGTAGCTTTGTTTGATATTTAACAATAAGTATAGGTGATATACTTGAAATTTATTTCCAGAATGTCATTGGAATATTACAATGAGCATAAATAATCAAGCTTAGGACTAAATGAAAGATGCTATCTCATGTATGCTTTAAATAGATAACTGATTTCAAAATAAAGCTATTTTTCCTTATCTATGTTTATTCTGTAAATGGCAAATAAAATACATCTTTAAATGCTTATAAACTACCTCAATAATGAAAAATGTGAACTCGAAAATAAGAAACTGATTGCACTTTTGGGGCCACTGAGTAGTGGCGGGGGTCCTGGAGGCAGAATTCAGCTGTCAAAAGTTCTAGTCTTCCCTTTATCATTCTACCTAAAGACCCTGAACAAGTTATCACTAAATTCGGCTTCATTTGTTTCCATCTTTTAAAAGGAAAGGCTTAGTTTATTTCTACGTTTCCTTCCTTTCTAGCAGTCAGTATTTCTTCTAATGAATTTTTTTTCGTTGAATTTTTATTTCATTGTTTCTAAAAAGTGCCGGTGTTTCTGATTGAATATGAAGATTAAAAATAATCATCCAAATGTGGCACCATAAAAATTGAAAATATTAAAAAAGTTTGATGAAGCAAGAAAATCATATAAATGAGCAGAAGACATGTTTAATATTCACATACAGGCAAACATTCATGATCTAAAGGACACCTAAAAATAGATGTAAGGGAGCTGTGGTTTTCTTTGCTGGCCACTGTTTATCCCATCATCAGAGGAAAGATCTGAATGGCTGAGTGACCAAATGTTTTGTCAGAATCTGGTATTTGGAATATTGAGGTAGTAAAAATTTCAACAGAACCATGAGTTGCAATCTAAAATCAACTTCTGAGTTTGTTGAACTCTAAACTGAAATCAAGTATTATTTCCCCACCAATGTTCATAGCCAAAAATAACTTTCAATACACACACACACACTTTTAGTGAAAGTTTGAATGAAAATACATTTATCATAATTATTTTGTAACAAATCAGCATAAAATGGAAAGTCAAACTGCCTGTCTGGATACAATAACCTTGACTGAATGTTAGAAATACATGAATAGCTTTTTAAAATCTGCATTTTTGGAGTAACAGTCCTTTACATCTTTGCAGGCTTTGAGCACAAGAAGACTATCGTGAGAGTTGGTTCTAGATTGGTATAAGACTGGAATACACTTGACTGTTTTTGTTACAGCCATGAGGGCAAACCAAGTAATTCACATGGTATCATCTTATTGCCACCCTTGAAAATCCCTGGGCATGGTCCAGTCCACATAGAATGAATTCAAAAAGGTGTCTCTTGTTGGTCTCTAGAACTGTCCTCAGAAATAATAGTAAAATAGTGGTCACGAGTGCTGATTCCTCACTAGGCTACTTCATGTACATTATCTTGTTTACTCTCTACAGCAACTATGTGAGATGTGTATAACTATTAAATTGTACAGATGGGAAAATTGAAATTTAGAGATTAAATACAATGCTTGCTCTACGTTACACTGTTACTAAGAGACAGAACCATACACGAACCCAGGTTTGATCTTCAAAAATCACACTTTTAATTACTTGATACATAATGTCTTCCAATATTAAATCGAGACTGGGGCAAATTCTCAGCCCAAAACCATACTTCAATTTAGCAATAGTATCATGCTAGGACATAAGAGATTAAAAGTGAAGACACAGGCTCTATCCTTAAATAATTCATAATTTAGCCAAATATATTAAAATAGATAGCTGTAATATAAAACTTAACTAGAAGAGTAAAATAGAGATCCAAGAATAATAGGAGTCCTAAAGCATATAATGGGTCTGTTCCTTGTGGAAGCCAAATTGATCAGTAAGCAGGCCTACTCTTTCTTCATATTCTGGTTTAAATGTTCACCTTAACTACTTGGTAAATTTCTCTCACTGTTGCTGAAGTAACCAAATGGATAAGGAGTAATGAAAAGTCATCTTTGAGTAAACTTAGTAGAAAATGGGATATCTGGGCCTGTAGGGAAGTTGGGTCATTACTTCCAATGACAACTGGAAAAATACATAGACTGCTTGACAATCAGTTTCTTATACCATGTACCTGTTGACTGACTCTTTCAGAAAACGTTTATTTTATTTTATTTTTTTACCTTTTTTGGTACTTTGGTAGTGGTATTTCCTTGGTAAAGATCAAAGTTTAAAGCTTAACAAAGTTTAATAAAGAAAAGGAATAAATTACTATCTAAATGTATTAAAAGCAATCACCAAGTTTAATGAATTAAAAAATAAATATTCTTTTAATTTAACAGAAATTTCAGTGGTTCCTTACAATTCTTAGCAGCTAAATTCCATGAGTATAACATTTAATGTCCTTTTGGTGCATTAAATGTTCAATGCCTTTGAGGAAGGGAACAAACAATTTCATTCAGGTGTAGCAAACATAAAGATGACATAAGTAAATTCATGTTAATCCATAACTGAATGGAGTCCTGTATTAAATCAAGTGATAAAATGTACCCCTCTCAAAGGCCATTCATGAATGATTAAGCATAACCTTCAACTGAGGCCTGAATACTCATGTCAATAGGGTTTTTGTTAACATTTTTATGCCAAATTTAAGTTGGTTGTGATAGAGTGGAAGATATGCTAGCTTGATCAGAAAACTGAAGAGTCTGAGACTTGCGTCTTAGTTAATTTAATTTCACTTTCTGGACCTCTGTTTACTCAACTATTTAAATGGAAATAATAAAACTTGTGTTACAAGGATTTTCAAAGTAGTATGAGAGTGCACTTGGAAGTGCCTGACATATCACAGATCTTTTGAGGAGATTGTGAAGCCAGGGAATATGTCACTGAAACAAGATCAAATATCCAAGGCGTAAACAGTGATTCTGTAAGACAGGAACTCAATAATTTTAAATATAGGTAAGGGGTTTTTTTGTTTGTTTTCATTAATGATGAAAACACTGAAGGACACTTGAGTTAACTGGAGATAAAGCATTAGCACCAGGAGAAATGGAGAGAAGATCCTAGTAAGGTCAAAGAAGTGTTTGTAAGTGTCTGGCTTGAACGGAATGCCCAGAAATGGAAGTCCAAGGAGATTGTGAGAGGATGAGGGAAATTATGCAGTGTCACCACTACTCACAGGGCATTATGGCCTAAGCAGACTAAAATAATAACCTCTTAACTGGTTTGGAGGTCCACATGAAGAATTAGGGTCTAGAATTAAGGAAGAAAAAAGAAATTATGCACGGATATATCAGTGAACCAATTGGTTGGCAAATGAAACCTATAAAATGCCTAATAGAGTAATTTAATGACTAATTTAATTAGACTAAACAGAACGGAAACCATGCTAACCTGCAACAAATATGTGGCACCAGCCTATTAGAGTGAATGCTATTGGTTAGACTAATGCAGATAATAAATCAAGTGTAGGAAAAAGGACATTTTCTGATTATGCCCAGAACAGGCATAGAAAAGGTATAATAAAGCTTGAAACAGGTGGTTGACAATGCAGAAATCAATCACTTAATTGAAATGGTAAAATGAATGTTGTTAGGGGAATATAGGATTAAGATGGATGTAGAGCTTGCAAAAGAAAACCTAGCTCTCTAATACTTAAAATTCTCCAGCCCTAGAAATATTCACTCAGCAAGAAATTGCAAGTAATAATCACACCAAGAGTCAGCATCTATTTAACTGTATGTTTAATTAATTTTCTAACTCAAATGAGAAATCTGGGGCCATTTATGTCAAATTTTTGCTTAGATGGCTACAAATACTTGGCAATTCATTTTCACAGATTTTGCAGCATCCATAAAGCCCTCTCTACTAAAGAGAATGCATTGGTATTTATCCAATAAACCTTCATGTAATCGCTGCTATACAGCAGAACTATCATTACTGCTCATTGAAATTGTGACACCTGATATCACTTGTTTGTAGACATTTTATTTCCTATTTTCTTGGTATTCTCTTTAAAGCCACACACTGGTGTAAGAAAAGAATGTAAGTAGCACTCAGAATACACAATAATTCTTCCAAAGGCCTATCTTAAGCTCACTGAAAATTAGACCTCAGAAGGCACAGTTAATATAAATGTAATGAACAAGGATGGTGCATAGATAAGTTTTCCACTGAAAACAGTATTTTAAGTGATACTATACTTAAATATATATATATTTAATATATATTAAGATATATATATATCATACTATAATACAGTATATATATTATACATTATACTATATTATACTATAATATAAAGATATATATCTTTATATATATATTAAATATATATAGTATATATCTTATATGTATAAATTTATATATTTAAGTATTTAAGATATATACCAAATAAGTGTTTCAATTACCACCAAAAACTGCACTGGCTATACAGAAAAAATAATGCTCATGAGTATGCAGTTGCAGTTGGGCTCCTTATTTACCATTTTCAAATGAAGAATCTTGGGAGGTTTGATGTCTATTGCCTTTTTTTTTTAACTTTCAGTATGATAGTTACCGGTATCATTTGATAACTTTAATGATTTCCCAACCTTAAAATTAACCTAGACAACACAGAATTTTTTATTTATTTTTTATTTTTTGGTGAAAACAAGAAATACAGTAATGACATTTTATTTTTCCTTCAAGCACATGTGAGAAGACAAAAGTACTAATGATCATCATTGAGTTTGACAGAGAAATTCTACTAGTACTTACACTGCTTAGGAACATAAAGGTCAAGTACATTACTAGGGCAAGAAATATCAAGACGACAGAGTTATATTTTTCTTTTTGAGGTTACTTTCACAAGACATAACAACAATTTATAAAATATTCAGACTATTCAAAGATCACATTCAAATTATATTTCTAAGAATAGAGCCATATATGAACAGAGAGCAGAACAAGCTAATATATTAACGAATATTCACTGAAGTCTTTATACTGCACAGGACACAAATTTGGTATTTTGCACTTGTTGTCAATTACAAGCAAAAAGCAGGCCTGTAAACATCAATTTTGTCATAGGCTGAAATGGAGAAAGGAAATAGATTTTACTCAAAAACAATGACATAAGGAGCATATACCATTAATCTTCCGCACATATAAAGGTCACTCATAGGATAATTGAGAGAAAACATACAGAGTTACATTTCTGTTTACAAAAATCTACTTGTGAATTCAAGGACTTATGAAAAATTGGAGGAAAACCCTCTTCCAAGCATACTATTTAAACCCCAGCCCCTCTTCCCTGGAGAGCACCTCAGGGGCCTCCCCTCCCACCCCTGATCCTGCAGGGTCTTTCCTGTGGGCCTTTCCAAACCCACTTCACAGCAGGCTCATATCTGCTTCTGGACTTTTACTCAGTTTCCCAAACTAGACTAACCTTTCCACTGTGTGTGTTCAGACCTCCTAAACCCTCAGGGAGCTTAGGGCAAGGCTTTCAAAACCAAAGGGGAAAAAGGTGATGGTGGATGGTCCTTACCACCACACATCCTCATAACTAAGACAGCCCTGACAGCATCACTGTCTCACCTACTAGAACTTGTCCCTGAAAATCCACACAGATGCTACACATTCCCTTATCCTATACAAGAAGGCTGAGGACTTTCCACAATGCAGGCTGCAGCCTGCTTCTTCATTTGTTACGAGCAGGGAAGGAAATGCAGAAGCTGAGAAATGAGGGCCATAAAAGCCAGGCAGTAGGATGGAGACCCACGGGACATCAGGGCAGTAACAAAGTAGTACAAAGGAGAAGGCTGACCTACAAAATGCTACCCTGGGGTCATTTCCAAGCAGTCCAAGGCCCAAAAAAGAATTTCCAACTTTAGAAAAGTGGAGTGAAACTAAGTTTTGGTTGCCTTCACTTAAATCCTGTTCAGGACCTATCTTAAACCCATCACTGTGAGGCCTTTCTCTCTCTCCCCAGCTTCTCAAACTAAAAGTTCAAGAAATACACAGGTTTTGGTAGAATGGATGGTGTAAAGAGATAAGGATGTCAAAATCCGCCTAAAAGAACACTGCCTATAACTAAACAACCTATATGGCTCCCTTTGAAACTTTCAGACCTTGCTAAAGGACGTGGGGTGGAGGAATGAGGGCAGTAAGAAATCCGGAGTCCATTTAATCATACCTTTTTCTCTCTGAACACAATCAAGAAGAGAGCAAATTAAACAAAAGCCTGCTTTGCCAGTTTTGTTTTCCGTTAATAAGCAGCTGAAACTGCTTCAGAGTAAAAGGGAAGAAGGGATAGGAAGGAGAGGAAGAGGGGGATAGAGAGAAAGAGACAGAGAGGCATAACAATTCTCACATTCCAGAAATATCTCTTCCTCAGTGCCCCAACTGACAACTTTGTCATGTTCAGAGTGGGTGCAGGTGGGGAAGAGAGGGAATGCCTAAAGAAGCTGCTCAGATTAAGGGTGGTTTGTTGGCTAGAAGAAAGCTGCTCAGATTAAGGGTGGTTTGTTGGCTAGAAGTCAGAAAGACGAAGCCGGAGGAGACTGTGTTCCAGCCTTGCTATGGACACTCTCGCATATGACTGTCCATCCTGGTGGTAGGGGGTGTTCCTGTGTGCTCCCTGGGAACTAAGTCTACAGATAGTTCCTGATGAAGCAGACAATAATGGCCAGAGCAAAGTTCAACCAGGAGGTGACATCAAGTAGGGGTGGGCTTCATACTCACCAGTAACTGGTCATGATGTGGAGTAACCAAAGGTATAGGAAAACCAACGTGGTAACATAGAACACTTTTCATCTATTACCTCATTCATGCCTAGCAGTCACCCACCAGCCACCAGCTTGTTCTACCAGATAACCAGTAGGGTGGATGGCACAAGTCCAGGAAGGCAGCTGGAATCCAGTTGGTGGTAATCTGGAATGTCCAATGTGGGTTGATGGCTAGGTTAAGATATCAGTTTCATCTTGCAGTGGTAAAACCAAAAGAGCTTACCATAAGTACATGGGCATCAGGTACATAGCCAGCATGAAGTATGAAGCCCAGTCAGTTATTCATGAAGATGTATCAAGATTCTTTGTGGTACACAACCACTTAAATAGAAGACCATGGTCACAGACAGGGTCCAAGCCATGCAAAGAAAGGCAGTATGGTACAGTGTATCTATAATATCATATGCTTGGCATCGAAGCCATAGAAGGCCATGCACTTGAAACATGTTAACACATTGCAGAAAAGCATGAAGGCCCAGAGGAAGAATAGCATAGGCAGGTAAGCCAACAATCTTGCAACTGATTACTGAAGATTCAGAAGAACCAAAGGAAAAGATAATCCACAGTATGAAGAGAAAGCAGAAGGAAGACTGCATGCTGTTGGCCAAGCATAGGTCCAAGAGGAGGTGGTAAGGAAGCTTGTGCAGAACCTTCTCACAGGAAATTAGCCAGACTGGAACCTGAAGGATCTGGAGCTCTCCACTGGCTGCCTTGGTGGGCCTCGAATTACTCTGCGGGGCCCTTCACCCATCAGGTAGTATTGTAGGGGATTGGGCCATATTTCTCCTTTGATAATCTCTGCAATTCTGTCGAATTCTAGAAGGCTGTGGTCTGAGAACCAGTTGAAGAAACTAGGGATGGTGTTCCCTTCCCGGTTTCTGTGGATATGAGCCTGGGGGTCTTGGCCTCGGTGCCAGCGGATTGGAGTGGAAAGAGACACCACCCGGCCAGAGGATCTACGCTCATATTCCTTGACGAGCCCCTCATTTCGGAAGTAGGGATTGCTCTGAAAAATGAACTTGAATTTGCAGCCTGCTCTGGGGTGTTTAAGCTCCTCCACCTCTAAATTGATCATGTACCTCAGCATGTCTTCATCTTGGCCACTGATCATAGGTGACAGCTGGGGGTGGTTTCGAAAGGCAGTGACCCAGAAACCTGGGATATTTTGGATAATGAAACTTCTGCGCTGCATGTGGAGCCTTCGCATGCGGCCAAACTTGCGCTCAAGCTGAAGGAAGGCCCTGTCAGCCTGGGCATTTACGTTTGACAACTCTTGATCGATGGCCTCCAGCGAGTCCATGCAGTTATTGATCTTAGGGGCCCTGGGCCGTGTCTCCTCTTTCACCCCTCCTGCCACCCTTTTTTCCTTCTGCACCGCCTTCTTTTCCTCCATCACGGCCCCTGCTTCTCCCTCCTTTTCCAATGCTGCTGAGATGGCGCTCTTTTTAGTCGTCACTTCCTTGGCCTTCTTCCCCGGTATCATCCGAGACCCCAACCGCCCTGTGCCACAGGCTTCTAGAGCCTTCTGCCCAGCAGGGCCACGGGGCTCTCCAAGCTGACAGCCATTTTTCTGGCTGTTGTCAGCAGCCACGGAGGCAGAGGTTGCTTCCAGACCTTTCGTAGAAGGTGGTGCATCCTCCTGCCCGGCTTTGGTCGCTGCACCGCCGCGACTCCCGGCAACTGGGAAGCGGAGGAGGGGGCCACAGTCCCCCGGATCCCGTGGTGCACCTCCCTCCGCAGCGGTCTCTAAGCTGCCCCCACCCGCCATCACCTGTGTCGCCTCGGTTTCTTCATGGAGCCCCTGGCACTGGTCTAGGTCCGGATCTCCTGGGATATGGTCTGGGGCAGACAGGCCACCGGTTTGGACAAGAGGGAGCTTGTTGCCTCCATCCAGGCCGCTCATTTTGGTAGTAGTCAGACTAGCGGGAGAAGGAACGTCTCTCGTTCTCCGCAGCGGCTGCGCTCTGCCGGAAACGTCTAGCGCCTCCGGTCTTTTACTCTCCGCGGTGCTACCATGGTAACCGGTGATGTCAGGGCGGTAGCGTCCTAACATCGCGCGAGAACTCTGCGCCAGTGACTGCGCTTATCAATCCATCGTATTCCTTTGTCTTCTTGTCACGGAAAGAATTTCATCAGTCTGGAAGGGGAGCTTTACTTCCGTAAATGGATGTAGACCAGACTCAAACATGTGAGAACTGTGTTAATGTGGATTTCTAAGCCTCTGAATGAATTTCTAAGGCACCTAAGCTATTGTTTCTGAAAATATTTACTAAAATAAGAAGGGTTAGTTATTGTTTATTCAAGTCGGTTCATAGGGCTATTCATGAGTAGGAAAGTGCATTCACGAACTCACAGGCCTTCCTTATTTAAGGTATGGATTCATGGCTATTACCAAAGAATTTAGATAAGCAGAGTTTGATTTTTAAAGAGAAGTGTTGTTGTGTTTAGTGTTTGTTTGTTTTTTTTTTTAATTAACGAGCAGCTGAAAGGAAAACTTCTCTCATCCTAACAAGACATAATAAAGGAATATTTCGATTTGTCTTACAGATTTTAAAGTTTATATAATTTGGCCAACATCAACAAAACAAGCGGACGGTATTTCCTCCTTTAACTAAGAGTAATAAAATGTTTTTCCTTATGTAGACGTGACTGGCACAGGAGCCCAAATTTAGGCTTTTAAGCGTTACCGAAAGAAATACTATCTCAGGAGATTTTAATTTCTAAACGAATGCCCATTATACATTCTTTTCCTCAGGTCACAGTCTTAATCTAAAAGTGGTTCCTGCTTCATAATGCTTATGGGCATGAAGCCAGCAAATTTTTGGCAAAATGTGTTTATGTGGTAATTCGCTGCAGCACAGGAGCAATAATCAGCTATGTGAAGGCATCTATGCTATTGTATCTTAAAATATTTACTCTGAAAGTAAGGTTAGTTATTGTCTATTCGAGTCAGTTAGCTCTTACAACTCATTTGATAGTGATTATCACTACTATATATTAGTTTGTTGGAGTGTGAAAATAATGGTGTTAATCCTTAGAAAAATACAAGACCAAAGGGAAAGTTAAATTTTGCGCATAATGTCTTAAATTTATATTTGAATAAACAGTTATGATTATAACTCTTGGTAAAAGAAACTCCATTTTGAGCACCCCAGATTATGATGACTTTCAAATACAGGCTAGGAAGTACAGATTTAGAGAAAAAAGGATTTAGAGAAATGCAGCATCCTGAGACTTCTCATGAGGAAAGTAATATAGTTCTGGTTCAACTAAGAATAAAGTACTGATGAAAGGTCACTGGCAGACAATACAGATAAACAGACTGCCTTGCCTAATCAGCCTACCCAAGGACAATGTGTCAAGAATGAACTCTTTACTGCCTGCCAGCTAATCAGTTATTTCATACAAAACATGCCAGCAAGACTCACACAATGGAGAGCAATTATTTTTCTCTCTTTCCTCTTTGTCTTAATAAACGCTCTTTTTGTGTTTGTGAGGTTAAATCAATCTATTGATGTATCGTCTTTGTAAACAAGTAAACCGGGCTATACTATACCAAGTACAAGTGTGCTGTACTTGACTTTGCGACTCTGAGTTATTGGCAGTGTTCTGTTTCTTTTCCAAAGAATCTTTGCACTGTTGAAGTATTAACTATTTTCCATTATAACCTGAGCCAAGATGAAGAGAAGCAGTGAATACTGAATGAAAGTTACTTTTCCATGCATGAGGAGAAAGGAAGGTTGCTATTATATAAGTTTATATAAAATTTTAAAATTACATGTGAACTTCTTTTTCTTTTCGTGTATGCCAAAATTTTTTAAAGATTTGTATCTCTACGACTCAAAGCATCCTCATCTCTAGCTTTTATTAGTCCTGCCACCTGAATCGTTTTTCACTCATAACCACCTGACCATTCTTTAAAACTCAGTTCATGTAGATTGTACTATGCATTTTAAATACATTACATTTCATAAACAAAGACACAGCAAGCACAGAGAAGTTAACATCCCCATGGTCACATATATATTAATATTAATTGGCAAACTGCCTCCTCCCATCTTAATTACTTTACCTCCTTCCTTAATTACTTTGCCATTTTGACAGTCCTCTGAATTTCTGTATAGCCCTTATGATATATACCATACAACTTAGTACAGTCACCTATCACTTAATAACAGGGATTTTGTCATTATGGAAACACCATATAGTACATCTATCAAACCTAGCTGCAATAGCCTACTACACAATTAAACTAAATAGTGTATCATGTTGCTCCTAGGCTACAAACCTGAACAGCATGTTACTGTACTGAATATTGTAGGCACTTGTAATATAATAGTAAGTATTTGTGTATCTAAACATAGGAATTATACAGTAAAAATAGAGTATTATAATTTTATGTTCCCACACATGTATATTCGTCTTTGACCAAAATGTTATGCAACAAATGACTATAGTTATTTATCCTCTGCTTTTTAACCTTCTTGGTTGTTTTATTAAGGTCATTTTCATCCAAGATCGATAACGATGACCTCATAGCAGCTTCTGTAGCATCTGCGATAGTATAGCCCGGTTACTATCTCATAGAATGTTTTAATGAATCTTATTTAAGTGAAACTTTAAATTTAAATAAAAATTTTTAAAGATTTTTACCAAAATGAATAGTATGACTATCCCTGTGTTTCATTTTGAGGTGGGTGGATATATAACAGTAGCTATAAATTATATTTTACATTTTTTGCACATTTGAATAATATATATTTTGTATACAGTAAAGTCTGTTCTACTGGAAATTGGCAATAAACCTTACTACACAGAAAAAGATACATCAGTGACTTATGATTCTATGGAAAAATATCCATAGAAAATGACATGAAAATTTATGAGGTAATTTTTATTTGCAAGGAGATAAGATGTTTAATGGAAGTTCAAACATAAATTAATACAGTCAAACAGGAATGACTTTATTAAAGTGTACAGTAAAGATGGGAAAATCTGTGAAATATCCCCTATTGTTACACCCTTGACCAGCAGCTTCTTTTTCAGAATGATATAGTTTCTGGTTCATAATTGCTTACATTCATTTAGTGTTTTCTATATGCCATATACTTGTATGCACTTAAATGTGTATCTCATTTAATTTTCACAAAGACCCTGTGAGGTGATATTATGACCTCCACTTCACTTTGCCTCAGAAGGAATTGAGGCAATGAGAAATGAAGTGGTTTATCCAGGATCACACAGCAAGTGGTGGAGCCACAATTCGAATGAGGTAATCTGACTGGAGAGCCTGTGCACTCATTCATCATACTATTCTGCAATCCTTCACAACCTATATGAAAATCTACCTTCTTAGAAATAAGATTATATGGGCCGGGCGCGGTGGCTCAAGTCTGTAATCCCAGCACTTTGGGAGGCTGAGGCAAGTGGATCACGGGGTCAAGAGATCGAGACCATCCTGGTCAACATGGTGAAACCCCGTCTCTACTAAAAATACAAAAAAATTAGCTGGGCATGGTGGTGCATGCCTGTAATCCCAGCTACTCGGGAGGCTGAGGCAGGAGAATTGCCTGAACCCAGGAGGCAGAGGTTGCAGTGAGCTGAGATCGTGCCATTGCACTCCAGCCTGGGTAACGAGCAAAACTCTGTCTCAAAAAAAAAAAAAAAGAAATAAGACTATATGACCATCCCAATTTAATGTTGAACTTTCTTCTTTATCTTCTTTTCCTTTACCTGTCTTAGTCCATTCAGGCTGCTGTAACAAAATACCATAGAGTGGGTGGCTTGTAAACAGTTACTTACTTCTCACATTTCTGAAGGCTAGGAATTCCAAGATCAAGACACCAGAAGATTTGGTGTCGTGAGGTCCTGCATCCTGGTGCTTAGACAGTAGTTTCTTTTTGTGTGTGTTTTGTTTTGTTTTGTTTTGTTTTTGCTTTGTCCTTACATGGAAAAGGGAGTGAGGGAAAGCTCTGGGGCTTCTTTTATAATGGCACTAATCCCATTAGGGCTCTAACCTGAGGCACTGATTGACTCCCGGATGACCCCCACCTCCAAATACTCTCACATTGGGGATTAGGCTTCAACATAATTTGGAAAGGACAAAAACATTCAGTCTATAGCCTGTCCCATCCATAAAATTAGTGACAATTGTTGAGGAAGTCACTAATTGAGCCCAATTACTAAAGTAAAATAAGAATTCATGATTCTCTGTTTCAATGCCTTAATTGTTCTCAATTCATCAGATATAACATTTATTTTTACTTATTTCATTTTTAGATAGAGTCTCACTGTGTCACACCCAGGCTGGGGTGCAATGGCACGATCTGGGCTAACTGCAACCTCCACCTCCTGAGTTCAAACGATTCTCCCACTTCAGTCTTCCAAGTTGCTGGGATTACAGGCACATGCCACCATGCATGGTTATTTGTGTGTGTGTGTGTGTGTGTGTGTTGTTGTTGTTTGTTTGTTTGTTTTCAGTAGAGACAGGGTTTTGCCATATTGGCTAGGCAGGCCTCACACTCCTGACCTCAGGTGATCTGCCTTCCTCAGCCTCCCAAAGTGCTAGGATTACAGGCATGAGCCACTGGGCCCAGCCAGGTCTAACATTTCTTTTTATAACATGTTTTATAACTCCCTTTTTCTTTCTTGAAATTCATATTGTATATCATCATGCATATTTTTAAGTCATTGTAATAACTTGGTTGTAATTTAAAGGAGAAATAAAAGGAAAGTAATTTTTTAAATATTTTAAAATATAAATGCATTGACATGCCAACACTTTATGTCATGATAAATTAGTTAGATTCTTGTCTGACTGTCCGGTCTTCAAGTTCTGAAAGTATTTCTTTCACTTGGTCTATTCTGATATTAATACTCATGAATGCATTATGAAATTATCATAGTGTGTTTCTCAGTTCTATCAGGTCAGTTACATTCTTTCTTATACTGGCTGTCTAGTCTGTCAGCTCTTGCATTGTTTTATCATGATTTTTAGCTTCCTTGGATTGGGTTTCAGTGTACTCCTGTAGCTGAATGGTCTTCATTTCTATCCATAGTCTGAATTCTATTTCTGTCATTTAAGCCATCTCAGCCTAGTTCAGAACCCTTACTGAGGAGGTGATCTCATCATTTGAAGGAAAGAAGACACTTTGGCTTTTTGAGTCCTCACGGTTCTTGTGCTGATTTTTTTCTCATCTTTGTGGGCTTACATTCCTTTAATCTTTGAGGTTGCTGATCTTTGGATGGTTTTTCTTTTATCTTATTTGACGACTTTGAGCATTTGTGGTTTAAGGCGGATTCAGCCAACTGGCTTTGTTTCTGGAAGATTTTTACAGGGCCAGCCCTCAGCTCCCAAGTCCTTCATTTCATGCTCTAATTTTGAGGGACTTGTATGAGGCCCTGACTTTGTTTTCCGGCTCCTTAAGGTTAGGAATTTGCTGTGTTGGGGGAACTGAGGTGCTCCTGGACCACTGGCCACTACACGTTAATGGGTAGTGTCAGCCAAAGCACTTCATATTGCAGCCAGCAGCAGTGGTAATAGCAGCTGCAGCAGAGTGCCAGCAGGTGCCATGCTGGCAGGCATTTACCACAGTGGCAGAGGAAATGCAGCTGCAGGGGTGGGGAGTAGGAGTGGCCCCAGCTGATGACAGAGTGCACAGTCAAGCTGGAGGTGGTGTTGATTCAGGGGTGGAGCACTGGTGGGCACGGGTCTGGGTGTCTTCTCTGTACTCCGCAAGCAGGAGTGATTGCTCAGGGCAGAGTAGAATCTGCTGTTCTCTATGGAGTGTTAGCACAAGGGTGGGGTGCTGGCAGGGACTGGACTGGCTGGCTCTGTACCCACCAAGGCTCTGTCTACAATGGCAGGCAGCAGGGGAGTGGAGCAGAAAGCACTCCCACATGCTGGTGGGGCAATGAAAGCAAAATCTGCCTGTACAGAAGTGCTAGCAAAGTGATGCAGGGAGTTGCTGTGATCCCAGGGGGAGCTGCAGTATGAGGAGAGAGCATGCAGGCTGGCACATGGCTGTAGTGGCCAACTTACTGGAGCTCTCCGCTGCTTAGGCATGGTCCACCAGCACAGAAGCTATGTTGTGGGCCCCCAGGGAACCTGAGACAATCCTGTAAGCAGGAGTGGGCAGGCTGGGGCCCCAGGAGAGGCCAGCAAATCAAAGGGTGCTCAAGTCAGACCTGCCCTGTCTGATGGGCAAGACCACCTTGCAGAGTTCAGATCTGACAGTTCCCTAGGGTTAACATCTCCTATAAGAGCAAGGTGAGCCTAGAGGGGATAGCCATCCCCGGTTGTGCTCTGCTGCAGACATTCCCACATCAAACCCTCTGGGTTCTGCATCAGCTGGCTTGCTGCCCCTACCCCTTCTCTAATTAGCTCTCTCTGCCAACTTCAGTGTCCATTGTGGTCAAGGTGTCTCCTTCTGCCAGGGTTCCAGAGGCCATGTGAGAGGTTGCTACTTGCCAGTTCAAATCACCCATTCCCCTGGAGACACTGGCAGCCAGGAATGACTCCTGGTGTGCAGTAGCCCCATGTAGAGTTCCCAGCTTTCTCCTCGTTTAACCCAATTTCTTTTTCCATGTTTTAACATCTCTGAAATGACTATCCATGCTATAATCAATGGCATCTTACAACTGCTACCAGCAGAACAGCAGTCATAGTATACCAGATTCATAAAGCAAGTTCTTAGATGCCTTCAAAGTCATCCTGGAGGTGTGAACTTGGTTGTTAGTCTTGCCAACATGACTGGACAACTGCAACCTCTTGACATTTCAGTCAGTAAAATCTTTAAGCCATTTGAGGAAGGAAAATAAGCCTTATTTTTTCCCTGAAAATATTCTGTTGATATCATCTGATAAGATCAGGAAAGTGCCAGCACCAAAACTTGCAGAATGAATACTGGAGGCTTAGGGGAAAAAAATCCCAGAAGCATACTCTTAGTAGTAGAACTTTCTACTAAGATACGTTGTCATCATCAAAATTATTCATGAATGGCCAGGCACGGTGGCTCACACCTATAATCCCAGCACTTTAGGAGGCTGAGGCGGGTAGATTACGAGGTCAAGAGATCAAGACCATCCTGGCCAATATTGTGAAACCCTGTCTCTACTAAAAATACAAAAATTAGCTAAGAGTGGTTGCAAGTGCCTGTAGTCCCCGCTTCTCGGAAGGCTAAGGCAGAAGAATTGCTTGAGCCCGGGAGGCGGAGGTTGCAGTGAGCCAAGACTGTGCCACTGCACTTCAGCCTGGCAACAGAGCAAGACTCCGTCTCCAAAAAAAAAAAAAAAAAAATTCAAGAATTTTGAATAGTAATTAAGATTACTATTATAAATGGGAAAATAATTAGAACAGTGAAACTAGTTTATTTCATAATTTACTATGTATACCTATGAGTGATATATGATAAAACTATATTTTTTAAATCAAAAGGTCTTTCAATACATATACAATTAAAATCCTAAGAATTAGAAACCTTTGTGTCAGAGTCTAATTGAAAGTTCTTTTCTTTCTTAGTGTTAACTAATGGCATATTTAACAATCAATACTTTTAGAGTAGATGAAATAAATCACTTGTAAAAATGCAGCATATATCTAAAAAGTGCAAATTTTTTGTTTTCATATGTGAAATACACTCATGTGCCACATAAT